AAAGCCCTGCCATTCATGGTGGCTTCAAATACTAGTAAGTTTTTTCATTACCTAGTTACAGAGTTATTATTACGTCTTCTAGTGCTTAAAGTCCTAATTATGGACTGTTTTGAACACGGATCATCCCCATACTTCATTCAAATCCAGCCATCACTTTTCCTTGAGTTTACAGGTAATATATATATATTATTTTTATTTAGAAGTATAACTAAGTTCTTTACATGTAACGTTAAAATAGTTTATTGTCTTTGCACTTGTGGATGAATCCTATGAAAAATTTGTTGTTATTGTTATGTGTAATGATGTTTCTTTCTCTTACTGTTGTAGCAGGGCCTCCTCTTCCTCTTTGGCCTCTTCCTTGGCCACCTCCCTCTATTCCATGGCCACCTCCCCCGCTTCCTTGGCCACCTCCCCCTCTTCCTTGGCCAGCTGCCACTCTTTTTTGGCCATCTCCTCCTCCTTGGCCACCTCCTCTTCCTGCTCCTCTCCCGCCACCTCGTCAATGCTTCCATTTACCCCTATGTTGTCTCCTTTTCTTCTAACAACAAAAAGAGATTAGGGTAACTTATACTAATAATAAGAACACAATGCACATTAACATGTTTTAAATACCATTAGATACTACTAACACATAAAGGAATGGTACTGTATGTTCATGTAGTATCATTATTCTTGAAAGTAATATGTGACCATAATTGACAAAAGGGCCCTTATGGCGGATTTTAAAATTGATAGTTATAATGGAAAATATCAACCTGGGAGTGCTTTGTTAGGCAATCATTGTTTCTAAAAGTTTCATGGTAACTTTTTGCATCCTGTGGAGTAATTTTATGATAAATGGGGCTCAGGAAGTTGGATTTCTTAGGCTAGAAAGACAAATTTCACTACCCACCATAAGGTACCTTTTGTCAATTATGGTCACATATGAAAATAACAAGTTAACTAAAGACAAAGTTACTCACTAAGGGATAGCATTATACAGGCAAGAATAATTACATTGATAATAATAATAAATGTACCTCAGACTGCCGCTCAATCTCACACCCAGCATTCCTTAAAATTGCAGCGCTGTTCTTTCACGTCCAGCATAAGTCCGTCATTGGCTTGATGCTGTAAATGTGGGGAACATGCTTTCTCCATATTCTTTTAAAGGAACTTTCACTGAGAGTATGTTCCCTACCAGCATCAGCATTTTGCCGGTAAACCATGTGTCGGGACACACTGGACGGCAATAGCTTGGCCTTCCCATA